TTGAAAGAAAACCTCAAAAAAATGAAAGTTTACAAAGGTTGAAATTTTCACATGTAATCCTAATGGGCAAGACGCAGCAGAAATGGAGATTGAGGTTAGCTATACTTGGGCTCCAACCCCCCTCCTGCCCTCAAAAACCGGCCCATGCGCGTTACGCAGGTTTGCTATCTCGCGGCCATTCTAGAGGTGTAGTTCGTTGGTCTCCTCTGCGCACATTGCCGCTTGCTAGATTGAAGGCGTTCTATACTGTGCTGACGGCTCGGTCACACTGCGCCTGTAGTCGCGGTGCTGACAGCGACAGCGGAGCAAACAGAACATCGCTCCGACATTCTTCACCTGCTTGAAATGAAGCGAGAAACTATTTGAACTCCGGAGTGGGTATGTGGTATCATACAAAATTGAAGGAAAATCATACGTTTCCGCCCATCCCAAGCAACAGATGTTTATGAGTTGTATGCGCACATTTACGTAGTCTTAATTGAGTCAGAAATTCGCGTGTATGCCACGATATTGATGTGAATGACTCGCAATTAATTATAATGATCTTAGAAATTCGCTAGGAACACGACGTATTTGCCGTGATATCGTGTAATTTCTAATTTGTTTTACAAAATCCCTGGAAAAATCAAGTTTTCTCCGCGATGTAGATGACAAACCCGCCATTGCTGAGAATTAAACGAAACCGCTGGTTAAATCCCGTAATTTTCGCGGCTGAAACTCACCAGCTAACTTCAATTAAACATTGAACTGACAAAAGTATCAAATATCTTTATGAAAATAACCAACTTTTGATTGGGTATTTTTGATTATTACAATTGTCATGTGAGCTTACTGAAGAACAGACCAAAATAGCAGCATACTACTAATTTCTACTTTTTTATCAAACCAGTGTGTCTCGCCAATTTTGAAATAGTAGACGATAATTCAGAAACACAATTAGTAACTGATCACTAATCACAGTGATTGCTGATGGTGGGGTTTTCCTGTGCGTAGCACGGGTTTCCTGCTAGTAGGTTTATAAACCATAGCTTTTTCTCAGTGTAGAGCCTTCTTTGCATATTCCTTAACTAGAATGATGAAAACTTGCCACCTACAACCTGCTCATCTTTACAACTTAACAGATGCAGAAAAATGAGCGATTTCGCGGTACTTTCACGAAAAACCGCGAGGACTTCGTGACATAAAATATAACCCTCATCATACGATACAACTTGGCTGCAATTAACACCCAAATCGAAAGAATTACTTCTTCAAAGTAGCTGTGCAAAAACATTTTTTTGCGTATTTAAAATTTTAACGATCATTTTTACCGTAAAGTTAGTTATAACCGAGATAAAATTAATTGACTCTTGTGCGAATGTTTCCTAAAAGTGACCTGCATCAACATTCCTGTTTGGTTTCTTACATACATGCATTTCAGAATTTTCAATATTGCTTCTTTAATGGATGAGTAAAAAAATCCCCTTTTCTTCTCTTTGATGTTACAATGCACATTTTTATCAAGCCAAAGTGATTCGGCATTGCATCCACGCTGATCCAAGGATGGCGAAGTCTTACTTTCGCAGTGAATATCCTTTCCCCTAAAGTCTCTGGACAGTCATCGAATTTTCCCATGTAGCATGTTCTTGTAGGCTGGGCTGTTAAACTGTTATTTCGAACAATTCCAACAAGTACTTTTAATGAGCGTATAGTCTCTTAATGATAGAACGGCTGGTCAGTTAAGAAGTCACGCAAAATGCAACAGCATGAGTTGATAAGTTAGAGCAACAAGTTCGCGTGACTCCTAATTCTGATTAGTCTCAGTTACGGTAGAAAATCGACGGATCCGCAGAAAATACACTAATTATTCGCGCATTGCCGCTGTCTCGCACATTTGCAGCCGTGATTTTTTTCTCTTTGTAGAAGTGTACAGGACAGTAGGAAAGCTTAATGGAAAGCCTGACAAATTTGCCGTTGAGGAATTCGGAAAAAAAGCATACGCTGCGACTGTTAAATGAACGTATTTCTGTCAGACGGAACTATATGCATTAAGACATGAGCCCTGAGACCCATAAGAATATATGCATAACAGGGCTCACGTCATAATGCACATAGTCCCGTTTCGCAGCAATAAGCCCAAATTGTATCTGTGTTCTCGAAACATGACTCGCCGAAATGAGTCTTTTTTTACATTTGTCCCAAATGCTAATTTAATTCCGTCGATCAAGTTTATATAGGGTATGGAGGATTCAAAAATATCAAATATGCATTTTCTCCGTCCGATGTGATAACAAAATGCCGTTGTTCAAAGAGAGTGCAATTCAAGCAAACATGCTAGAATGTATCAGGCAAAAAGGAACACATAAAATAAAGCAAGAGAACACTGAAACTGCATAAATAACGCGACATGGAGAGACCAGCGGTCGCTGTGCTTTGTTGGAATGAAACATGACGTGGAGTCCCCCCTCGTCCTCACACTCCTTAAAAAAGAGAGTACTCAGCATCGATTAACAGCAATAGCATGAATCTATATCGAAGGGCGCCAAGACCTGAACATCTGCAAGGATTTGTCACCAGCAAGTCCAGATTTGTGGACTTATAGGATCACCTGAAATGATGCCCTCTGGCTATCTCAGTTCCTTTCCGTGGATATTATTTGCAGAATGAAAAATTAGAAGGAAAATTATAGGGGACGTTTTAGCCCTTGAAAATAGAGGTCGCATCACCATAACTTTGCAGCCAATGAACTAAACACAAGCTGAAATTCGGAGTGCTTTTTACTCTAGGGAGGAGTGTCTGGGCTTCAAACCAAAAAAAAAGTGTGTGCATTTTTTTCGTAATATATCGACGGTGAAAGTCGGCAATCACATAACTCGTTTGCGGTGTCTGAAAATCTCCGCCTCTGAGTAATTTTTTTAAAGGAGAACAAATTGATATTATTTCTTGAAGTTTTTGCAGAATTTTCTTTGCATTGAGAAGAAAAATCCTGACAGTTTTAAAGAATTGCCGTTGAGTAGTTTTCCATTTAAAAAATAAAGTATGACAGGAAGTCTGCGACGTCGCAAACCGAGTTACGTGATTGCCGACTTTCACCGTCGATATGTAACTTTAAACTTCCAAGGTACTTTAAAACAAAGCCGTATGCACCAAAAAGGTAACTATCAACAGGATTTCAAAGTATCCTTGTGTGTCCTTTCTTCATACACCACTATGTACGGAAAAGATTCAATCGTATCCTTGTATGTCATTAATGTACTTTATCGGATCTCTCGTGTTTTAGAATGTACTAACTTATCTCAGTTCGTTAAAAAAAGATCATGTGGAGATGATTGTTTTTAATCAATTTAACCGAAAAATCAATCGGTGCCTTAGTGACACCCCCTCTTGTTTGGTTCGAACGGGTGACACTTCGACCCTGATTTCCGCGGAAAAAATAAACCCGACCCACAACACCTGGGGGCCCAGGCGACCTATTCACATGGATTGATTTACAATGTCAATACAGCGGGATTCGGATTTCAGTTTGAAAAGCTTTCCAAATTAACCTCTGAACACTCGATTTAATCTCGAGTAGCAACTCGTTTAAAGTTATTTGTTCTGCACTCGAAAAGCGTGTCATACGACTCGACATTCATTCACAGCACAGCAATTAATTATTATTACAAAGTATTGTTCTCGCACTTGAGGGCTAATTCCAAAGCGGTTGCCTTTAAACTCGAACACCCCGACTGGAAATGTGATAATGAGCGCTACCTTTCTTTCATGAGAGAGAAACAGTTCCGGTGTTGGTTTAGAAATTACTTTTTTTCATTTAACCTTTTGCCGAATGCTTTTTCTTCTCAATCGAAACGGGCAGCATTACATTAAATGAAAATTAGTCACCAAACTTAGCGCAACTACTGTACTTGCATCGAAAATCGGCTACAATTAAGTAACTCGAGGGAAAACCACAAATAGGACCTGCTGCGGACACCAAGCAATACTCTCAGCTTGTAGTCAAATTTCAAAACGAATATATGGTATTACGGTAATTACACCGAAAAGTCAACTTTTTCCAGTCTGTTTGAACTCAAAGGCCACCAACTAAGGCCCCTGAGACTCTGTATGCATCCATGTTCACGACCGTATGAAAGGATATGGATGGGCAAAAGTAGCACATATAACTTGATATGTTATAAGGAGGAGAGAGGGGGGTCCCTTTTTGAAAATCGTGATATTTTTTTGTCAAGGTTGCTTCCTGCGCTGCCACTTTAGGGGGACGGGGGGTCATGAATCCCCAGAAAGTTTTATCCCTCGATGGTTAAGACAACAATCCTAACTGGAATAGTTTAACTCGATAATTGAAAAAGTTATTGCGTTCAAGCGTTTCTTTTCAGAATGAAATTTTAGTTCTTGCCTAAGCATTGTTTGGCTCTTATGTAATACAATTGAAGGACTTTTAGGATGAGGCGCATAAGTGCATTTTTCAAAAAAATTGTCGTATTAATAATTTCAAGTAAAACTTCATATTTTGGGGGGAAACTTGCAAGTTTTAAGCATGAAAAAGTCGGTTTGAATTTTCTATCCGTCCCAAGTATCCCTGTAATATCGAAACTTCCAACATGTAATTCTCGAAGTAGCAAAACTGCTCTCATTGGTTTTGCCCTTCAAGCCCCTCAATTCCAAGTCCGGGGCATCTCAAAGGTTTAAAATTTACAAGATCGCAAGTGTTCGGAGCACTTTAAATATTAAGGTCAGAAAAGGCTATCACTAAAAACACCGGATCTTCATTAATGCTCCATGATCCTTTTTTAAGGACCTGTCCGTTTTCGCTCGAACTATACGAGGACCGATTTCTCAAAACTTCGTTTAAGGTCTTACAGGTCCCTCGAGTAACACGCCAGAACAGGAACAAGGGCGGCCGAATTAATCTCACTACGAGGTGTTATGCGTCGTCACTCGGGGCAATCGATAGTTGAAGAACTCTCGGGTACGTGGGGAGGGGGGGTGGAGGGGTGGGAAGAAAGTTTGAATCGGGTTACCTGGTTGGGCGTAAGTGGCGGTGTCCAAGTCGGCGACGAGGAACAAGCACAGCAACAACGTAGCCTCAGAGCCCATGGCCAACTAACGAGCCGCCAATTACGGACGGTGTCTTCGGGTCCGATTCGCGACTGTCCACACTGTCGTCACCGTCGCCGTTGTCGTCGTCGTCCGACGTCCAGTAGCGTCTTGCCGTCCTCGCCGCGTCCCGCAAATCAGGCGCCCATCCCGGAGGTTACGGGTTTCGCGCTTGTGATCGCCCGGTCTCGTACCCGGTGTAATTCGGATTCGTGTCCTCGAGCGTCCTCTGGGTCCCTGTTGGAAAATAAAGTCGGATTTCAAGTAGAATTTTCAGATGACAGGATTGGATATTATTTCATAAAGGGCCTGTTGCAAACTCATGCTATAGCAAAAATAAGAGTTGTAACTCATTGAAAGTGTCTCAAAAATCACGATGGGCGCATTGGCAAAGTCTGAAATGCACTCCTCACTTCATATTTTGCATAAGTGATACTACGGAGATTGTGAAGTTAGGAGTGCATTTCAGAGTTTGCCGATGCGCTTATCGTGATTTTTGAGACATTATTCATACGAAACAACTCGTATTTTTGCACTAGCAAAAGTTTGTAAAATGCCTATTTGTAACGGTGCAATATCTAGCTTTTTTAGCAAATACACATTTTCGTCGATAGGAGGCCAGAAATTGTTTTTCAAATTGCAGTATGTAATTGCACATGGAGAAACTAACGGTACACAAGTTTTCTCTGAACTTAGCCTGAAATTGTAGTTTCAAATTGCATTGCAAAATTTAGTCCTATTCGTTGTTTTTCAGACGAAGGAACGTCAAAGGTCCAAAATTATAATACTGTTTGTTTCACTAAGTTAGGATTCACTTCTATTCAAAATTTTGTTGATTTTTTGCGTGTAACGATAAGAAAACCCAGTGAACTTTTTCATTAGAAACTTTGATCAGTTTCACAGGAAAAACTCAATTTAAGAGTGGAAATTATACAATGCTTAATTGTGTTAAGTTCTTTGGAAGCCAATACAAAGTGCACTAAGAAAGGTACCACGTGGCATAGTTTCCTTTTTGAAATGTACCTTGATACAAGCTTGTAGCCAAATAGTATTTAATGTTTACTGTGACGTTTCGTTCCCCTCATGGGGACATTTTCAGGCAGGCTGCACTCATAACACCTAGCACATAACACTCCAAACTATTTTTAAAATCAGGTTTAGTGCCTACAAGAGTTGAAATATTATGAAATGCTGAAATTTACGATTGTGCACGCGGAAAAATTATTTCTCTTCTATAATATCATCGCAAGACCTAGACTAAGTATTAAAGTTGTATGCCATTTTAACGGTAGTATGTGGTGCGCAACGTTTGGCTTTGTGAGTTTCTTAGGATTTTCATTGCTAATATCCGAATGCATTTTTACTGAACCAACTGTAATTGAACATGTCATTTCTTAGGATGTATCCAAACCACTCCAGTGAAAAAAACCAGCCAACTTTGTGCATGCATACAGTTGAATCATCACATGCATCGCATGATTAGCTGTTTTCGCGGAAAAGCCCGAGAAGACCCAACTTTGAATACCAAATATCACCCGTGCCATGTGGTGCAACTTCGACTGCGAGTCTAAACCTCAAAGTTTCGAGTCTGTATGAGTTTCTTAACATTTTAACTAGATTAGTGACCTACTCGGCTGAGGTGGCTGTAGTTTGATCAGATCTTCTTAATTTTGGATACCTGCTCTTTGACACTTGCTACTTAATCTTCAATGATTCCTAATCTGTTACCTATTAACCCTTGCCATATCTCTGTACATACTTGATGAATTTCCCATCAGCGTGTCATGATAAAAATTCTAAGTTGATTGGAGGTAAGAGGTCGACTGTAATCGTGTTTCAATAATCATTGAAACCCTCCTGGAATACATCATCCTCTTCATTCAATAAGAAACTTCCGCAATCTTCATGAACACACCAAAAGTATTTTGCACCTTCGACAAGTATAACTAAGGGTCTCCTCTTCTAATAATTTCAATTTGCAAACTTGTCAAGACTCGGAAGTGCACTCATAGAATTCGCTAATTGTTTTTATTGTGATTTTCCGTGCACTGTTGCGTAACTCATGTTAAAAAGAAATTTATTAATTCCAGCCGTTACAATACATCTAGTTTACAGTCAACCACAGTAAGTGTGTAACGGAATCTGTGTACGGTAGACTGTGCAACGTGCTCACACTGTGCAGTGCAGTTCCTTGCCAGGAGCAAATTAGTGTTTTAGAATTTTTTATTGTTTCCTCGATTTCGGTCGTTGTTTTCTCCTTTTCTTTGCACAGATTTTCTATCCCCCCACAAAGCGCCATGTGTCGCTCAGTGTTTCAATTTTTATTTTGGAAAGTCAGAAGACCAATAACAGTGAATAGTTTATTAAACAATCAACCATTAGACTCAACAATAGCTGTGTAACAGTGGTACTGATTCGAACTGCCTCCATAAACTAAAAACTACGGTAGCTTAAAAAAATGAGGCATTTAAAGTGACATATTAGATAACTGAGGCCGTAATTTTACTCTAAAACAAACCAATGTCTACGTAGGATACTCACTCTTAATTATTTGGTTGTTCCTCAAAGAATATGTGTGTTGTTCGGGTTGGAATCAATTACTAGTTTTCAGAAAATAATTTGTGTTCAGGATATCACTCACTGACCTAGAACGATAGTTTTCGTGATCCTCCGTTGAGTTTTACAGAAACGAATGTAATTGGTTAACCTGGACGAACACAGACCGTGAGAATGCGACACTTTTTTTTAGTTAATTCCGAATACTTTAAATGTTCTGAGTCTTAAAGTTTTCACTATGTAAACTTGGGAAATAGTTGAACTCGAAAGCAAGTGCTTTTGACGGTGCGCCGTCCGAATTTCGCGGCTCGGCGCTTTTGCCGAGCTTTTTATCGGGGGCTGGGGCCGACCGGTGAACCCGCGAGATTAAGGGCCGCCCGATGCGAGTTAAGTCGCTCCGATTACGAGATTAAGTCGCGAGCACCACCGGCTTATCGAGAGTGATTTTCGACACCGCTCAACTTTAGCACCTGATTCGGCCGCACGGGCGAGGGGTAGCGGCGCGGGACGATGCTGGGTACCGCTTGGTGGGAGAAGAGGTGTCTGAAGGTCCCCCCGTGTCGTTGCACCAATTTTTGCAACTGTAGCGGCGAGCGTGGCTCTTCCTCACGTGCTGATGCCCTGAGTTTTAATCATTCGTGCACATTTTAACTGACTTACGCAGATTTAAGCTAGTTCGGAGACAGATTCATCACTTAACGCGCATCACTTACACTTTTAAAAATCGAGGAGTGAGTTCGGTGCTGGAGTCCATATGCCCAAGTGATACCATGGGAATTGAAATCAGCACCACAAAAGTGTATAACACGCATGAAGAGTAGATTCCGCTCCGTGATAGTGAAAGTAATTCCCTGAGGAAAATGGTTTCCGCTCCGCATTCCTGCTGTCTTTGGAGGGTTATCTAGGTGCTACATAGATTCCGGCACAGGGTTCAACCTCCCAAATTTTGAACCGTGTAAGCTGTTAAGGGCTCATTTATCCAACCCCCCTTCCCCAAAATTTAATTTAATATAATTCAAAAATTATATTATTCAGATAGTATTTTAATAATTCATGATTGTCAAAGTTTTGTCACTTTTCGAAAACGGAACCCGCGATGGATCATTTCAAACCTTTGAGAGAATATTATTTTAACCTATTGCCATACGCTGCTGAATTTCTTAAATCGCGTATCTTAGTTTTCGAAGTCTAAGACTTCCGGTCCTATTATATTTTTTAAATGGGAAACTACTCAACATCAGTTCATTGAAAGTTTTGTGAGTTTTCTGCCTTGCGGGAAAAAAAATTCCGACCAAATTTCAAAGAATTTTATTGATTTGTTCTCCCTTAAAATAAAAGTCGGAATTTGAAAGCGCCGCAAATCTGACACATGGTTTGAGAGTTTCACCGTCAAATAGCTGTATGCTGAAAGGACCTCTCTACCACTGGATGCTCATACGATCGTGCATCCTAATTTGCAGCTTCGTCAACGTTGATTACTCTTCCTTGTTCTGTTTCGATCTGCTGTGCGTAGTCAAACGGTTTGCGGCTATAAAACACCTCATTAGTTTTTCTAAGTTGGCTGCTTTCTTGAAATCTACCTTTCCATAGTCCTTAATAATTTCTAGAGGCACGTTGCTCTGTGTATTGACAGCAATAAACCTGGTGGCTGCTCGAATTTTTTCGATGATGCAGCAACTCAATTTGACGCCGCGGAATTATCTCCCCCCAACAATTTTCCTTGTATTTATAAATATTTTAGGAGAGGAAAAAAGTTGGGAGTGAAGAACCTCATCACTAGATATTGGGGTTTTTTCCATGGTGCCTACTCCATCGCATGGTTGAGAAACTTCTTTTTATGTGAAAGTCCGGTCAAAGTGTCATAGTGATGACATTTTAACAATAAATGAAATACATGTTGAATGAGTACGGAATGGATACGGCTCTGTGGATTGGCATCGTGATCTTCAAGGGTTTTTAGTCCCACCTTTGGCAGATCGCCTAGTTATTTTCTCGTGAACATTATTTGATACTCAAACGAAAATTTCTATTCCTCAAATAAAGTAAAATAAGACCTTCCATCCTGTCGTCCAATTTATCACTCTTTCCAAGCCTCTAGGAACTCCACTGTCAGTGATCCTTTAATTTTCATAGCATGTTTTGCTGAGTTAATTCTTTAATTTACTCCTTATTTATACGTTTCATTATTCTGTAGCAGGTGTATTATATTGTGCCTTACAATCATAATCAAGGGTTTGTCAAATTCGAGGTTATCTACATTCACAGTGTAGAGGACCTAATCGAAAACACCGTCATATTAGAGGGAAGCGTTCCAACCAAATCAGATGAGTCCATAAATAGAGCGTGACCCGGGTAACTTTAACCGAGCATGTAATTGCATTATCAGCTTCGATCGGCTGATTCATGTTTGTGCAGTGGATTCATTTGCGAGCACCTTTCGCTGTTGTTGCTTCTATCGATTCCATTCGGATTCCGGCCACGGAACCCTTTCAACTCAAATGATTGCGTGCAGCCGTCACTAGAGGTTAACCAAATATGGCGGGAACTTACGAAAATAAAAGCAAATCCATCTGTTTATTAAACCGTCATCCACATGACGCTTTCGACAACTGATGTGCTCGTCGGAGGTCTTGGTTTCATTGGGAATGGGTATCCCTCAAAAACGCCATGAATTCCAAGATCGGTTCCTAAAGCACGACTTAAGGTCGTATGCATTGTCATTTTTTTAAGAGCTTTTCCGACGGACCTTCCATGATTTACTTGGAAATGGTAAAAAATTGTCATCACTAAAATTACAAATTCCTGGAAGAAAAACTTTGCTAGTTTTCAAGTTTCAATGTAGGCCTGGGCCTATTTCGAAGTTGGTGACAATGAGCTTGTTCAGCAATTCGTAATTCTTGCATTTTTGGAAACTAGAGAGTGCACAGAGTTCACAGGAATTTTCCCCGATTTTTTTGAGCAATATTAACCCACGAAATACGAGTCCAAAAGTCCGTATTTTGGGCTCCCATTTAAACGCGCGCCGCTTGGCCCATCTCAAAATGGCGCCCATTTTCTCCGTCCGGCGGTGGCCACACTTTTGACCCGGCGTGCCGGCGAGGTACCTCTGCATGCCTCTGCCGTGTGTGGGTCGTATAAACAAACGAAGATTGATAACACAAATGATCCAAACAACTCGAAATCTCTTAATTTTAATTAATTTAAACCCATTTTCGACTTCAACCAAGCATTTGGCAATAATATTCATCGTATTTTACAGCCAGGAGCCACGGCCTATCGGCTCATTTTAAGGTGCATTCTGAAAATCAGTCTTACAAGTCCAGTGTCCAAACCCAGACTTTCTTCTTTTACTTTTTTTGACCATTCTCTTTTCATTTTCGCCTCAAATCAAATGTTTTGCAGTTTCTTTGTCTTAAGTATGTGGTCCTGAATTCATTCAAGAGTTAAAAGTTCACCATTCATTTAGTATTATAGCCTTTTAACCTCTCAAGCTTTACCGATATGATCTCATGCAGTTCGAGGTTTCTTTGGCCCAAACCAAGTGATTACACATCTGATGTGTGTCTTATGGCTCTTCAAATTCGCAGTTTAGAACTAAATCAGAGACTACAGTTACTTAATCCAGTTCTGCTCTCTTGCTCAATGTTTGTCATAAGTGTTTGTTCGTGTCTGTTCTTTATAAGTGACCACTGTAGTGCATATACACAGTTATGCTATCGGTACAGGTATTATTTCTTGTTTTCTACAGTCAGGACTTTCTCTTAAGCGCAATAATTTACCAAAGAAATTCACCTAGTTGCGTAAATAATTTGGTGTATAGATATTCTGTTAATGTCTCCTTGCGGTGATTCAAAGTTTCTGAGATCTATCACAAGTGGATTCTGCATTTAGACGGTCACTCTTGTCTGATAAAATTACTGCTCTAGAAGCTTCAAATTTATACTTTGATCTCTGATTCATCACTAAATGACACTCATGCGGTGTCATTTATCTTTAATCAGTTCAAAGCTATTTCGACAATGAATCATCAAAGGTCCGATCGAAGAAGGAATTTTCTGGTGAGTGCTGCGACTGAACCGACATCACAACTCTACTATCGAAAGCATCAACCAAGACATGATCATTCGTCTGGAAGTGGAAATATTTTGCAACTCATCAGCAGGCCGATTATTGAAGGCTTAGAGCAACCTGACAAGACATCAAATTCGAATATATTGCATGGATATGATAGGGCTATGTCTTTTCATGTCGGGCTGACATAGTTTCAATAATCGGGCAGCTGGTAGTTTAACAGGTAAGATTTGTAAAGTCACTTAGGTATCACAAGTTACATTCGCATCTCTTGTGGTACAGTTTTTGTAAGTATGCTTACCTTTGTGGAGATTAATTGATAACAAAACGAGCATATCAATGTCATAGCCTAACTAGAAAACCACTAACGTAGATTTACAAAGTTTCAGACTTTCTGTTTCTCTTCGATTATAAAATCATGCAACGAATGTTACAAATGTCATCCCCAGATAACCTTAACCATGTTCCTGACTTATACTTATGGGAGGATGTAATTCTATGTCTTTTCAAAATCCTTCCATCCATCTGTACCTGAGAAATTCAGTAAACCAGCCGACTTTCGGACTTTTAACAAGAATCGTTGGCAACTTTACCATTGAAATGATTCTTAGGTGTTTTTGAACAAAGGGATTTTATTAAAATGTTTGTTGGACAGGTTTGATTCACCCTGAATTCTTAAATAGAGAGAAAAAAAAAATATTTTCTTCACTCTAGGAAGACATGAAACTGACCAAGCTGTAGGTAAGTAAGTAGTTTTTGATTACTTCATTCCATGAAATATGATGATCCTTGTTTCTGCAGGAAACACAACATACTAGCAGGAATCCTCAAATAAATTTTCTGTCTTGTACAATATCTGTTGATACTTAAGTATTTGATGATACCTATGAAGTACAAAATTTCTGAAAAAACCCTGGGAATACCAGCAGAGTCGTCTCCAAATTTTCTCTCAGGAACAAGACTAAAAATTGTGGAAGTTTCCTAAGAATGCTCTCAAGACAAATTTACGTATTATTCATAGATGAAGTGTAGCCTGCTACATATCATGTCGTATTCCTCTTCAAATATACATGCAGGTGAGTAGATTTTGAAATTTTGAGCGCACAATTTGCTCATGAAAGAAGCGAGCACTACCATGATTTCCTCTTACCATTACCACTTCGATAAATTTTTATAAGTTGATGCTTTTGAAAGTAGAGTTGTGATGTCGGTTCAGTCGCAGCACTCACCAGAAAATTCCTTCTTCGATCGGACCTTTGATGATTCATTGTCGAAATAGCTTTGAACTGATTAAAGATAAATGACACCGCATGAGTGTCATTTAGTGATGAATCAGAGATCAAAGTATAAATTTGAAGCTTCTAGAGCA